TGGTCCTCCCAAGCCCATGTGACCCCTGAGGAACAGATCCTCAATGGCCTTAAGTGTAAAAATAAATTGATTAATTTGGGCCAACTGCAAGGTCTTAAACACCCAAAAGGAAAGTATAACTAAAGACTAAAGTGATCAGTATATTTCTTTAAGAGTTCAAGGGATTACACCTCCCAGATATTAGGATTAAGTCCATATAAAATTTGATTTAGACAATTATTTCTCATTGATGGTTTTGTTCCTAACCAGAAAGTACTGCTGAGATGTAAGACTTCAAATCTTGGTCTGCAATACTGTAGTGCCCACCTGTAGCTAAGGGAGATAACTCAAACTCACTATTGTTCTTAAATTATGGTGAAATCTGTTTTCTCCCCCTGTCTTTGAAGGGGAACTGAGACTGATTCTAGCCACTCCAACAGCTATCAACGTGCTTGAAAAAAAATCCTGAGTCCATCACTCTCGAAGCCAGCCTTGGCAGACAAAAGAAAAATGAGGAGGAACCTCAAATAGAGGGATGCTTTTGGAAGCTCTCATCAAGAAATCCCAATGAACTCATATAAACATTTGAAATTTGCCCTGTTCTGACTTTTTTCTGGTTCCCCATCTAGAACTTGTAATGCTTACTACTCTTGCCTTTATTTCTCCTTCCCATATCCTATTCACCAATCAAGGACCTTCTTTTCTCCCTACAGATAAGAGTTATGCAATTTGGGAGTCTTTTAGGTAGACCCACTGAAAGGGTACTCCAGAGTGAGGGACACCTCACTCTGTGTCCCTGTTCAGCATGGAAGAAGCCAAAGTGGTCTGCATTCCAATTCCCTAACCGCAAGTTGGGTAACCTCTTCAGAGGATGGTGTGACAAGATACTCATGTGTCTCAAGTGATGCCTGGGAGGCAGCTGCAGAAGGTCCTTCACATTCCTTTTTCCCACCCAGCATCCCACACTGCTGCTCTGAGTGGGAAAGGCACTTCTCCCCTCTGCCTGGACACCTGGCGAAGAGAAGGATGCTCTGTTCTACAGGATCTGGTGCTGCACTTGCCTTTATACTTCCTTTTCTCATATATGGTTGAACCCTTTTAAGTGGTCTTTTATTAAATTACCTTCCAATTGAATATATCACATATGTGTTGCCAAGACAAGACAGGGTCTCCCTGGAACCCCATCTGGAACTCCCTATATAGACAAGTCTGGCCTCAATCTCACAGAGATCCACCTCCCTCTGCCTCCCAAGTGCTGGGACTAAAGGAGTACACTACCATGCCTCACTCACAATTTCTAATCTTGAAGAAGTGTTTAGAGAAAGGTTTAAAAACAATCATGAGTGTTCATTTCGGAAGTTTAAACAAAAAGGAGCATATTCAACTGAGGAACTTTTACATTTACAGCAAAGACTTATTTATTTATTTATGGGGTGAACATGTGTGGGTACATGTACATGTATGCATATGAAAGTCAGGGGATTAGAGAGTTGGCTTGGCATTTGGGATCACTGGCTAGTCTTGCAGAGGCCCCGAGTTCGATTCCCAGCCCCCTCATGGCAGCTAGCAACCATCCTAACTACAGTTCCAGGGCATCTGACACCCTATTCTGGCCTCTGTGGGCATTGCATGACATGGGGGTCCATTTACATACATGCAGGCAATACACTCATACTCAAAATAAAAATAACAAAATATTTAGAAATAAAAATAAATTTTAAAAAAGAAAATCAGAAGTCAATGTTGAGTGGTGAATGTCTAGTGTTTTCTTGACTAGCCTTCTTTCAACCTTTTGAGACAGGGTCTCACTATGTAGCCCTAGCTGGAACTCGCCTGTTTTTTGTTTTTTTGTTGTTGTTGTTTTATTGCAACAGGGGTCTCTCACTGAACCTGGAGCTCATTAATTCAACTAGACTAGCTAGCCAGCAAGTCCCAAGGATCCTCCTTTGTGGTCCCTAACCTGTTGACCTAGTTCTGGGACTACAGGCATACACCACCTTGCCTAGCTTTTTACAAGGGTGCTAAGGTTCTAAACACAGGTCCTCATGCTTGCATGGCAAGCACTTACCCAACTGTGTCATCGCTAGCCTTACATCGCTAGTTCACACATTTCCTAGTTGTGAACTCATAAGTAATTAGCATGCTTTGTTGTTTTATTTTTGAGCCAGAGTCTCCCTAAGCAGCCTAGACTTGTCTGGAACTCGGATCCTCCTGCCTCTGCTTCCCTAGTGCTGGGATTACAGGCATGTGCCTCTATGTCCAGTAGGTAATTTTCAGGTTTTTTTTATCGTGAAGAACTAAGATCCTCACTCCGTAATAACAAGAGCTGGAGATTCAGAGTAGCGAAAACCAAGGGAGTTTATTTACAGTCTTGCAAGGTTGGTACTCAAATGATAGGCAGACAAAATGATAGGCACTGCAGACGAAACATGAAGAACAGTTTCTATAACCCTGGACAGAGGTCCCTTTCTCCTTTTCCTCATTGGCTGAGCACTCAGGTGCACAATCTGGCATATCATCTGCCACTTTTGTCAATTTTGCATCAAAGACTGTATACAAGTTTATCTCTGCAATTTATATCGTTTGTTTTAAAGCTTTTCAAATGCATGAACTTTGTCATGTCTGCAGGCCACTAGGAAAGTTTGTCTGTTAATAATTTTCTACTCTAGACTTCAGTTTGGGTGGGGATGGCTAGACTAGCAAGCACCAGCAAGGGCCCAGTATCTCCCGTTCGTCTCAAGCTGATGTAAACTAACTTAACACACTTTTGTTTTGAAAATGGACCATTTTATTTTATTTCTTACATTTATCATTCTAAAAGACAAAAATAAAAATTCACAATTAAAATTAAACATTCTTTAAAAATAGAGAAACGGGCTGGAGAGATGGCTCAGTGGTTAAGAACACTGAATGTTCTTGTAGAAGACCTGGGTTCAAATCCCAGCACCCACATGGCAGCTAACAGTTGTCTGTAACTCCAGTTTCAGGGGATCTGACAGCCTCTTCTGTCCTCCATGGGCATTGCATGACACGGGTGCACTTACCTAAATGCAAGCAATACACGCTGTGCTGGATAGCTTTACTGTCAACTTGACACATCTGGGTTGAGGGAGCCTCAATTGGGGAATTTCCTCTATTGGGCTGGCCCGTGGCCATGTCTGAGGAGCATCTTCTTGATGAGTGATGTGGGAGGGCCCAGCCCACAGTGGGTGGTGCCACCCCTGGGCAGGTGGGCCTATGTTGCATAAGAAAGCAGGCTGAACAGGGGCCAAAAGAGCAAACCAGTAAGCAGCGTTCCTCCATGGCCTGTGTTCCAGCTCCTGCCTCCAGGTTCCTGCCCTGAGTTCCTACCTTGGGCTCCCTGATGAACTGCGACCTGGGAGATGTAAGCTGAATAAACCCTTTCCTCCCCAAGTTGGTAGTGGTCAGAGTGTTTTGTCACAGCACTGGAGAAACAAACTAGGACACACGCATACACATAAAAATATAAAAATAATAATAAAATTTCTTTTAAAAATAGAGAAACATTGTTTTAAAAATAGAGAAACATTGTCTTCTATTTCTTTTTTTATATTTACAATGACCATTAGTGAGCTTAAACACTCTGAAAACAGTATTATTGAACACATGGACAAACTTAGGATACCTTTTGTGATAAGAAACTATTCAGAGACTATTTATTTTAAAAGATTAGGTGCCATTCATTTGCCAATATGATTATTTTCCTTTGAGGCCTTGAAAGCAACCTTTTGACCTAGAAAAGACTCCTGAGAATTAGCCCACTATTTAAAATTAATTTTATAGGGGCCGGAGGGATAACAGCAGGCAAAGGCACTTGCTGCACGTAAACGTGGAAGGAGAGAACATATCCTCTGGCTTCCACATGTGCATTGTAGCATGTGTGCACCCCTACATACATGTACACATAGTAAATAAAATTTAATTTTAAAATTAAAATTAATTTTATTAGGGCTGGAGAGATGGCTCAGCAGTTAAGAACACTGGTTGTTCTTGCAGAAGACCCAGGTTTGAATCCCAGCACCCACATGGCAGCTAACACCTGTCTGTAACTCTAGCTCCAGGGGCTCCAACAGCCGCTTCTGTCCTCTGCAGGCATTGCATTACACAGGTGCAAGAAGCACTTACCTACATGCAGGCATAACACTCATACACATAAAATAAAAATAATAATAAAATAAAATAAAATTAATTTTATTAAAGTTACAAATTCAAACACTGGGACTTTCAAATTTTTTTAATTTTATGTATGAGTGTTTTGCCTGCATGAATGTAAGTGGACCTATGTGTGCAATGCTCACACAGGTCAGAAGAGGGCATCAAATCCCCCGGAACACAAATTAAGGACAACTGTTAGCTGTCCTGTGGGTGCTGGGAACCGAACCCCAGTCCTTTGCAAGGGCAGCCAGTGCTCTTATCTGCTGAGCCATCTCTCCTGGACCCCCAAATTTAGACTTTTCTTTTTGGTCTGTTTGATGCACTCATGTTGTACAATACCCATGTGGGTCAGAAGAGGGCATCAGATACCCTGGAACTGGAGTTATGGATGGTTGTTAGCCACTTTTCTTTATTTTTTGAGACTGGATATCATTATGTAGCCCAGGCTGACTTGAACCTTGATCCTCCTTCTCAGTCTCCTAAATGTTGGGATTACAGGTGTGGAAGAGCATGGCCAGCTAATTTAGCCTTTTATTAATACTTGGTGTCATTTAAAAATGTAGATAAGAACTCTTTGACCTTCTTGGGCATGGCATGACACAGGTGCACTTACACACATGCAGGCAACACAGTCATACACATAAATAAAAATAATACTTTTTAAAGATTTTAATTAAGCTCAAAAAGACCAAAAAAAAAAAAAAACTTAAGCTTCACTTAAATATTTAAATTGAAGATATTCTTTTTATTTAACACTATTAACAGGACTTATCAAAATGTTTAGAATAATATGAATCTATGAATCTAATAAAATATAAATTCTATGAATCTTAAGGTCTCTTAAACATAATACCTATAAACTTTGCAAATTTATCTTATCTTTTCAACGTAATTTTAAATCTAAAATTAAAAACTCAGTAACACATTTTTAATCAAATCATTAAGCATTTAATAATATCAGATCCTCTAATGAACTAAATTTTAACTATTATATATACTTAAAGCATGAAAAACACATAAATAATCCCTAAAATTAATGTAAAATGAATTTTATTGGACATTCATTTTCTACGTGTAAGGGCTAAATGAGATAGTCTTATCAGCCATGAAAATTGGGGCTAGTACCACAAGCAAGTTGATTTAAAGACAAATGACGCAGGATACCTGCTCAGTGGCAGATAATGGAAAATAGAAAGCAAGGCACCTCTGAGGCAGCTTTTCTTTAACCCAAGGTGACCTGAGCTTCATTTACCACTTTGCAATTACACTGTAGTTCCATCCGTTGCCACGCCATTCAGGGCTATCTCATAGACTCCATCCCCCCAATTCAAAGTGTACACTACCTAGTACTGAAGGTGGAGTTCATTTGATTATGTACTGTTTGACCCTATTCTTCTTTACCTTCTATTTACTCTTTGACAATTTCATACTGTATACATCTATCATACCCACCTCCAACTCCCCCTGACACCCCCCCAACATGGCCCCTTTTTTTTCTTGTACCCCATGGAGTCCAATTATTGCCACCTGCTGGACTTCTGACTGATCTTGGTGGCTCGATGTTAGACCCTACTCTTAATTGCTTTCACACTTTTCTACATTTAGGTTTTTACTATCCAATTAGGCTTCACATATACTTTTGTCTTTGTCTTGCAAATGACAGCAGTCCTTTTCCTCCACTGCAACTCTGGGTTACTATGTGATAGGTCTGACCAATTAAAAGAACATATTTCACTGTTCTCAGGAGTACATACTTCAATGCTTCCCTGTTCTCTTAGGCCCTGCTCTTGGGTGGTAGATTTTGGCCTGTGAAGGTTTGGACTGGGACGATGTAGGTTGAGTGGGTCTAGTCTGAGAAGGCTTAGACTGGGGCTGATGAGGTCTATGTGATTGGGGTTGAGTGGGTTTGGAGGAGGAGGGTTTAGCTTGGAAGGGCTGAGGATGAGTGGGTTTGGATGGGGAGGGTTTAGCTTGGGAGGGCTGGGGAGGAGTGGGTTTTGTCTGATAGGGCACCGGTTGGAAGGGCTTATGCTGGAAGTGTTTGCCCTGGGATTTGGGTTGATGAGGGTTGAACTGAGAGCTGGGTGAAAGTTTACTTCCAGACATGGACTGAGATCTTGGTTGAAAAGCTGGATCTGAAGGCATTTTGTGTGACATCATTTGGGCTCTTTGGTGAAAAGCAGGCCTTTGTTTTTCTTCTATGGATCCTGTTGGCTGAAAGGACTGAGGGTAAGGATGTTTAACATGAGATGTTCTCATAACTTTTCCAGTTAGCTGAGTTCCTGGGGCCTGGGTATTCCCAGGCTGTGGCTTCCCTACTGTTCTTCCTATCTGTGAACCCAGCGAATATAAGTGACCTACATGGGAGACCACTGCCCCAGACCTTTGAGGAGCTCCCACTGTTTGCAGTCTCTCAGGACAGGTCCATACATGCTGAGAAGTGGGTCTTTGTGATCTCCCATATGCTCTATTCAGGCGATGTCCCCAAAAAGGTCTTGAAAATTTCAGGAATCTTTCACCTGAATAAAATCTCTGGGGTTGGAAGTATTGAAGACCAAAAGTTTTATTTGTGCTATGGACCCCTGGATTTTGAAGGGGCAAAGGGCAGAACCACTTAGCTCTCTGCACTGACCCCAAGTGGGTACCCATAACCCAGGGGGCTTTGAAGGAAGCATTGTAAAAGTTACTTTCAACTTTGATAGGCAGAGGCCATGGGTGTACTAAATGAGGCATTAATACTGGAGTCTGATGAAAATTCTGAGCACTCTGGTTGCCCTCACCTTGAGCTCCAGGCTCTCTTGCAGGCAACTGAGAATGACTTTCAGATGTCCAACTATGTCTTTGTTGGTTTTCATCTTCAGCTGTTCCAGGAGAAACTTGAATCCCTTGAGTAATCTCAAAGTCTTGGTCTACCTGGATCCCCAACTCCCTAGCCAGAGAGGCCATTTCTTCTATGGACACACATCTGAGTGAAGAAGACATTGCTTCCTGGAGGGCAGCTTGAAGGGCCTCCAGATTCTTCCTCCTGTCCCCAGCTTCCTCCCCTTCCCAAAACAACAGCTGTGATGGCCTCAATTTGAGGATCCTTTGGAAAATCTGAGCCTCTTCACTCTCCTTGGCCTGGGGACTGAGGACAAAGTAGCATCTTTCAATGACATCTTCTCCTAAAAACATTAGCAAGTCCCATTCCTTCTCACTGATGTAGTCAGTAAAAAAGAACACAGCTGAGGAAATTTCCACCAAAAAACCAAACTGTGTCCAAAACCTTTCTATATCTCCACGAAGGTTGGCCACAGCTACGGGCTTTTGGAAAAAGTGAGGGCTTTCCTTTAACACATCGCTGTCGGGAAAATACCATGTTATCTCAACGAGGCCATCAGAAATTTGTCGAGGAAGTACCGGAATGGAAAAATCCTTATGGAGAAAGATTTTGTGCGATTTCCATTGGGTGCGGTTGAGTAACGTATTGAGGATTCTGGACTTAGAGAAGCTAAAGTGTCCTAGTCGCACAAAAGAGATGAAAGGCATCTTCATGAGACTCAGAAACTTGTCTGTATCCGTAGGGGGCCTTCCTGAGGATGGTGCCGCCGGCTTCTTTACGTCTCTCATAGCCCCCAGCATTAAGATGCTTTTGTTGTTTTCTGCATCTGGCAGGAGTAGGGGAAGAGCAAACTGGCATCGGTACATGTTGGACATGACTTCGCGTTGTAAAGAGCTGTCTGAACAGAGCATGCAGGCACAAAGGACATCAAGGGGATTAATGGTTTGTATGTCTTCAATTTCTAAAGTCTCCATTCTGGTCAGCAATTCCTCTTTGTCATCTTCATCTAGAGCCCTGTGCTGGAGGATGAAATCTCTGGCCGTTAAGTCTAGCGCTTGAACTTTCAACAGGAAATTCCAAGCTAAGTCTCCTGGAGTCTTGGGCATCCACTTACAGCCTCGATCTAAGGAGAACTGTTTAACAAAATCTGGGAGAAGCTTTCTGCTTCTATCCATGCTCAAACAGGACAGAACATGTTGAAATATCTTTTTTCTTTCTGTAAAGAAGATAGTAAATGTTCAGAATCTAAGTTCCTTTCACTTAAAATTCTATACATGACATTTTCACTGCCAAACATTGAAATAAATGAACAAAGTGAAAGTTTCCTTTTACCACTCAGCCTCTCCCATTTTCCTTCTAAGAGATTTATCAATTTCCTATAGTAGGCTTGCTTTTCACATGTCCTACTTTTTATCTCTGTTGTTATGACAAGTACCCCGACCAAAAGGAACTCTGGGGGGAAAATGTTTATTTAGCTCACAATTCCAGGTCACAGTTAATCACAGAGGGAAGTCAAGGCAGGAATTCAAGGCAGGAAATTGAAGGCAGGCCTGCTTGCTATTTTACACAGCATTACCTCTAACCAAGGAACTCACTTCACAGCCAAAGAAGTATAGCAGGAATCATGGAAGATGAACATGCTGGCTGGCAGGCAGGGTTATACCCAGCTCACTTCCTAATAAAGTTAAGGACCACTTGCCTAGGGGATGATGCCACTCACAGTGGGCTGGGCCCTCCTACAACAATGAACAATTAAGACAAACCCCAAAGACATGCCCAGAGGCCAATGTAATCTATTCTTTGAGATTTTTTCTTCCCAAATAATTCTAGGTTATGTGAAGCTGACAGTTAAAGCTAACCAGGACATCATCCTTTGTGTATGCCAAGAACATAAGTATGCATGTATATAAAGGTATAAATACAGGGTTTTATTTAATGGATGCTTTTAGTTCTACATAAAAATAGCTTGTGATTCTTCAACTATTTTTTATTTAATGGTGTTTGTTGTAAATTCTTCTAAGACAGCATATATCAAGATCTATCCAACCTGCTTTAACTATTTCATGGTACTCTGCAGTTTAGATGGACAGTGTATGATCACTTTTGGTTTTCCAATATGTCTTTTTTATTTTTTAGCTAATAAAACTTTTTCATTTAATTTTGTATGTAACAATGAAAACCCCTGTTAATTCATTGTTTTTCTCTGGTTATTGTTTGTTTTAATGCAATATTTTTTATTAATTATTTGAGAATTTCATACATGAATACAGTGTATTTTGATTTTATTCACACCTTGTCTTCCTCCTAGTTTGTTGGGGGCGTTGTTTTTATTTGCTTGTTTGTTTGTTTGTTTGTTTGAGATAGTCTCTGCATTAACTGTGGTTTGCTACAAAGTTTTTCTGACCAAGCCTGATAGCAGCACTAGTCTATGGTGAGTATAAACATACATATTTAGCTTTGGGGTCGGGGGGGGGTTGTTTGTGGTCTGTTGTGATCTAGTTTTTTTTTGCTTTTTTGAGACAGGGTCTCCCTGTAGCCCCAGCTGGCCTGGAACTCACTTTGTAGACCAGGCTGGCTTCAATATCACAGAGATCCTCCTGCCTCTGCCTCCAAGTGCTAGGATTTAAGGTGTACACCACCACACCCAGCAAAGGATAACTTCTAATATTCTGTGGAACAACTTTAGTTGAGAACAACTAATTAAATAGTCCAAAATAGTTCCTATGCAGAGCTATTTTGTTTCATATTTGCTTTGAAACAAGGCCTTACTGTGAAGCCCAGGCTGACCTCAAATTCTCAATCTTCTTGTCTCAGTCTCCAGAGTGCCGGTATTACAAGAATATATTCCCATTTTCAGTGGGAGGATTCTGAATGTTTCCAAAACAGAAATTATATGTCTATGGCAACAGATGTGCAAATTACCCTGATCTGATTATTATACATTGTATACATTTATTGAAATGTTACACTGTATTCCATAAATATGTATATTAAAACAAAATATATTTGAAAAATAATAAAACATACAAGAGGATTTATAGAGGTTACATGCAAATACCATGTCATTTATTCTCATTTTTGGCTTTTTGAGACAAGGTCTCAAATCCACGCACTGGCTGGCCTGGAACTTACTATATGTCCTAGGCTGGACTCAGATTTTCAGTGATCCTCCTGAGGTCACATGAGCCACCTGGACTGGCTCACTATGTCATTTTAAACACAGGGTTTGAGCATCCACAAATGTTAGTAACCAAGGAGGTCCTTGAATCTATCCCCCTTGGACACTGAAAGGCTACTGTACTTCCCCAGTCCTGGGTTTTCCTTTGTTCAATATCCATCTCTGAAGACAATTCAGGTTAGAGAAACACAGATTTCTGATTAGTTGATTTTCCCCATCATCCCCTCTCTCGAATAGACCATGACACCGTCTTTATTTATTGAGAAGTGACCTAATTAATTCTACACACATTCTTTCCATACCTTCCATCCTTTTCTCTTCCTCCTCTAATGAAATACTGGTTTCTGAATCCTCATAGCTCTTTTCTTCACTAGAGTACTCTGTGGTTTCTGAATACTCAGGTTCCTCTTCACCATCATCTAGAACGTACTGTTGGTCATCACAAGCCCCTTCTTCCACAATGGTCTCTATGTCATCAGGATACCCAGAAGACTGTTGATATTCCTCTTGTCCTAAGTACAGTGAATCATCTGGCTCCTCATATCGCTCTCCATCTTTTAAATATGTAATAGTTGCTGGAATTTCATACTCAACTCTATCAACTGAATACGGCATTGTGACTTCCCTCTTGCTCCCCCTGGAAGGCAACAAAGCTTCCCTATAACTACTTTCTTTGTCCTGGAAAAACTCAGATGTTTCCAAATCCAAGCATTCTTTCTCTTCAGAGAACTTTGTGATCTCAGGATTCTCTGGGGTTTTCTTCCCAAGGGAAAAAGTATCTTCTGAATTCTTGCTTACTCCCATAGATTGAGGTGGTGCTATATTCTCAAGTTGCAAAACTTCTGTAAAGAAAAAGATTTCATTATTTGTTTTGCTTTTCCAAAGCAAGAATTTTAAAATAAATTGAGAGAGTTTCAAGTCCTCACAGCATCATCCTTTTTATTTTATTTTATTTTATTTTTAATTTCAGACAAAGTCTTGCTATGTTGCCTAGTCTGGCCTCAAAAACTTTTGGGCTCAAATTTACTCATGCCTCTGACTCCCCACAGGCTGGGGTTACAGGAATGCAATCACCCTTCTTCATTTCACTAAAAGATAGGAATGCCTACTGGATCTCATCTGATTTGCACAGGAACAAGTCAATTATCAGAATTTTCTTTTTTCCCATGAAAAAATCAACTACTGCCCCTCACAGCACCTTCACAGGGTAAATGAGTAAAAGAGAAAATGTATACATTATGAACAGTGTTCACACAGAAACTTAGTATCACCCACAACTCAGATTTCTTGAAGTCATTGTTAAGGAATCTAATCTCAACAGCCAAATGGCTATATTGGAATAGTGTATTCTAGATACAGTGAAAACTATTTTTCTAAACATATGAGGCTTATGATAGCTCTGTCAATTTAACACAATCTAAAATCACTTGGAGCCAGGTGTGGTGGTCCACACCTTCAATCTCAGAACTCAGAGGCAGAAGCAGGTGGAGCTCTGTGAGACTGAGGCCTGCCTGGTCTACATAACAAGTTCCAGGACTTTAGGGAGACCTTGTCTCAAAAACAAAACAAAAACACCACCAAACCCAAAAATAAAAAATAAATAGAATCAACTGGGAAGAGAGCCTCAGTGAGGGACTGCCTACATTGGGTTGGCCTTTGGGCATGTCTGTAAGGGATTCTTTTTTTTTAATTAAGTTAATTGATGTGGGAAGACCCAGCCCACTGTGGGTAATGCTATTTCCTAGACAGGGGTCCTGAACTGTGTAAGAGTGTTGAAATCAAGCTGAGTAAAAACAAGCAGTCAATCACACATGCATTCCTTTTCTCTCTGGTCCTGACTTCGGATGTTCCCCACAGTGATGAACTATAACCTGGGATTATGAGCTAAAATAAGCCTTTTCTCCCCTAGGTTGCTTTTCTGTCAGGATATTTTATTACATCAACTGGAAGGAAAGTAGAACAAGACTTGTCCTACTGTAAGGATCATTAACACTTGCAGATGTAATCTACGCCTCTACCTCTCTAACAGCCCTTAAAATAATCTTGGTTTGCCAGGGCGTGGTGGTGCATGCCTTTAGTCCCAGCACTTGGGAGGCAGAGGCAGGCGGATCTCTGTGAGTTCAAGGCCAGCCTGGTCTACAAAGTGAGTTCCAGGACAGCTGGGGCTACAGGGAGACCCTGCTTCAAAAAGACAAAAAAAAAAATTATAATAATCTTGGTTTAACATTTAGAATACTGAAAAAAAGAGCTGTACCTCCCTCTTGTGGTCATTTCCAAAACTGCTAAACAACTCAGTGAAATAACTGCTCCTTCATCTGTCACAGTTATTACAATTTTTTTTTTTTTTGAGACAGGGTCTCCCTGTAGCTCCAGCTGGCCTGGAACTCACTATGTAGACCAGGATGGCCTGGAACTCACAGAGATCTGCCTGCCTCTGACTCCAGAGCACTAGGACTAAAGGCGTGCACCACCATGCCCAGCTAGTTATTACAATTTTTACAAGTCATTTTTTGAGAATCTAAAACTGCTATGTTTATTAATTATACACTTCATGATGGTATTTTCACACATGTGTATAGCACACTCTGATTACACTCACCTCCACATTACCTTCCCTTGTCTTCCCTTCTGCAGCTGATCTCCTTCCTATTCCCAAAAGACCCCCAACTTCTACTTCCTTATCATATATTTTTTATTGATGTAGATTCCACATATGAGACAAAACATGATGTCTGTCTTTCTGATATGGCTCATTTTATGTAACATGATGATCTCCATTCTATCTACTTTTCCTAAAAACAATACGATTCCATTCTTTTGTTTCTTTGATTTGTTGCTGTTTGTTTTCTTTTTTTCTTGTTTTTTTTTTGAGACAGGGATTCACTATGTAGACCAGGTTAGACTCAATCTCACAGAGAGCCTCCTGCCTCTGCTTCCAAGTGCTGGGCTTAAAGCCATGGGCTACCATACCTGGTCTCTGCTTATTTTTGAGACCAGGTCTTCCTCTGTAGCCCAGGCCAGCGTGCAACTTGCTATGTAGTTCACACTGGCCTATAATTCATGATCTTCCTACCTCTGCTTCTGCAAGGATTATAGACATGAACCTGACTCTCATTCTTTATAGCTGAATTAAATGTCATTGCCTATATATACACCACATTTTCTTTATTCATGAACATTAATGGGCAAGTAGGCTGATTCTGTAAATGGGCTATTGTGAATACTGTGTCAGTATAAAAAAAGCATACTCTACTGTGTGTTGATTTTGATACCTTTGGGATTCAAGGTCAATAGTTTTGAATCACTAAGAATTAGCATTTGTGCATATTTCAAAATACTAGAGAAGACGGGGGTGGTGTGCAGTAATTAAAAATACAACATATTAACATGTGGATTTTTTTTCTTTCTGAGTTTGAGTTACCTCACTTAATATTATACTTTCCATCCATTTTCCTGAAAATTTCATGACTTTCATTTTTTTGTTTATTTGTTTTTGGTTTTTGAGACAAGGTCTCCCTGTAGTCACAGCTGACCTGGAATTCACTATGTAGACCAGGCTGCCTCAGTCTCACAGAGATCCACCTGCTTCTGCCTCCTGAGTGCTGAGATCAAAGGTGTGCGACACCACACCCAACTGATTTTCGTTTGTTTTACAACTGAACAATATTCCATTTTGTATATGTTTCAAATTTTCAGTATAAGTTCATCTACTAATGGACATCTATGTTGGTTAAATTTCCTTGCTACTGTAAATAGAGCAGCAATAAACATGGTTGTGCAAATATCTGTATAGTAGGATATGGAGTTCTTTGGAGTGGAATAGCTGGGTCATATGATAGTTCTATTTTTAATTTGTCATGTTTTCTCTCAAACACTGATCTTAGCCTATAATGTACACATGCATATATGTAAACCATGATGAGGAAGGGTGGAATACAGGCAAAAGGACACATGAGTCATGAAAGAGGAGATAAAGCTAATTGTTTTCCCAGCTTCAACTCTGTCATAGTTTTCTTCTTTTCATGTGTTGGATAAGTGATTAAAAATGTAATTGACAGTAAAAGTGTACACTTTTAATCCCAGCACTTGGGAGACAGAGGCAGGCAGATCTCTGTGAGTTCAAGGCCAGCCTGGTCTACGTAGTGAGTTCCAGGACAGCTGGGGCTACAGGGAGACCCTGTCTCAAAAAGACCAAAAAAAAAAAAAAGAAAAAAAATCCCAGATGCTCTGTGGCTTCAGAATGGCTCTTCTAACTGTTAGAAGTTCATTGACATGCTTACTTGTGAGTTAATTAGAATGAAGTGAATTTTTAAAAAAGAAAGACAAGCTGGGCCTGGTGGTGCGCACCTTTAGTCCCAGCATTTGGGAGGCAGAGGCAGGCAGATCTCTCTGAGTTCAAGACCAGGCTGGTCTATATTGAGAGTTCCAGGCCAGCTGTCCTGTCTCAAAAAGACAAAAAAAAAAAAAAAGAGAGTATCAGTTTAAAGACTTTAAAACACATTGGTTATAATATGAATAAATAAATAAAACATTAAACATTAAATATTTTTAAAAGAATTATTATTAATTCGCTGAGCATGGTGGTGCACACTTTTAAGCCCAGCATTTGGGATGCAGAAGAAGGCAGATGTCTGTTAGTTTGAGGCTGGCCTGGTAAACATACCTCAAAAGAAAAGCAGGGTATGGTGGTGTATGCCTTTAATCTAGCACTCAGGAGGCAGAAGCACTTGGATCTCCATGAGATCAAGGGGAATGTGGTCTACAAAGTGTTCTAGGCTAGCTGGGACTACAGGGAGACTCTGTCTTGGGACAAAAAAAGAATTATAGAGAAATTAAGCTCTGAGCTCTAAGAAACTAGCATTATGCTGGCATTTTCATCACAGAGAAAATAAGGTCACTGATCTTCCATATTAGTAGTGACAGACCTTGCCTGAGAATGGCTATCCGAAGCTACTGCTGAGGTCTTGGAAATGTTAGCATCTGGAAATTTACCCACTTGAAAAGGAAACCCCTAGACAATGCCATTGCTAACAGTATTTTCTTTTCAAATGTGGGTTCAGCATCTCCCTGCCATGAGAAACATAGCAGCATGGGAAAAACTGCAAACAATCTGAACAGCAAATTAGCAAGCCCCTCAGTCAATGAGAGCCACTGTCCTCTGCTTGAAAACTTTTACACACTTTCTCTCTATCCCACACTTCAGAGAAAAATCATTCCTGGAAGTAGGACAATAAAAATAAAGGGCGGCAATTTTCTCCTTTCTTTTTCCAGAAAATTTGCTTCTTCCCCCCTTTCCCCTAAAAGTTAAAAAATATTCAACTTACCATGCTTTAAATCCAAAGTGGTGGCTGACTCAGGAAACATACTAAACAAGCACTTAAGAAAACATTCACAGCTCACCTCACCCTTTTTCTGTACCAAAATTAACAGCTTCCGACTTTTCTTCAGAGGATCTGTAACTTTTTCTAGAGTCTCATGCTCTTCTTCGGAAATCAGTCTCTGAGACGTTAATGTGTCTAAGACAGAATCAGGATCCTGTTGGAGGATTTGAAGCAGTCTTGTTCGTTTTATTGCTATGATCTCTGAGGAAGTACACACGGCAGCCATTGTTACCTAAAGACCAGGAAATGGATCAAGTCATCTGACAGCTGAGCAAATAAAGTTTAAAACAGAGTTAGCAATTCTATTTAGCAGAATGATACCTAGTGTTGGAATGGGCAGACGCAAACATTTATAGTAGGAGAAATCAGCCCAGAGCACTCTCTGTCCCTGGCTTCCTAGGGATCTTTTCTCAACTCGACCTGGTGTGTGTGTGTGTGTGTGTGTGTGTGTGTGTGTGTGTGTGTGTGTGTGTATGTCTATGTCTGTGTCTGTCTGTGTCTGTGTAACTGCTCTTGAGCTAAAGACAGAACCCTGGGTTTCATGGTGCTGAACTACATCTCCATCCCTATCTTCTCTTTTGATCACTAAACTAAGTCTCATTAAGGCTGAGGATTAGTGGACATGGCCAGGCATGGTGGTACACTCCTCTAAGCCCACCACTCAGGAGGCAGAGAAGGATCACTGCATTTCCAAGGCTAGCCTGGTCCTCAAGTGAGTTCCAGGTCAGCCAGGACTACATAAAGAGACTCTCAGGATGCTGGGGAGATGGCCAAGAGCACTCGCTGGTTGTTCTTGTAGAGGGCCTGGGTTTAATTCCCAGCACCCACATGGCAGCTAACAACCATCCATAACTCCAGTTCCAGGGGATCTGATGCCCTCTTCTGACCTCTGTGAGCACTGCATACCATGGGTGCTCTTACATACATGCAGTCAATACCCTCATACATAAAACAAAAATAAAATTTTTAAAAACTAAAGAGACAAAGGGGTAGGGAGCTACTCCAGGAAGTCTCCCTTGAATTTCAGGTTGGGCAAGGTATTCCTCCTCTCATTACTATACTCTGATGATAAAAATGAACATTAATTAATTTGTGGAGGGTAATATGAATATACATAACCAAGTAAATAATTAAGTTAGATAAAAATTAACAATTTTTAGCCTTCACTCTAGCAATTCCACATTAGAAAATTATCTTAAGAAAATAATCAGATGCCGGGCATGGTGGTGCACACCTTTAATCCCAGCACTTGGGGGGCAGAGGCAGGCAGATCTCTGCAAGTTCAAGGCCAGCCTGGTCTACATAGTGAGTTTCAGGCCGTTTGGGGCTTCCAGGAGACCCCGTCTCAAAAAGGAAAAAAAAAAAAAAAAAAATCAGATGAGTGCCCAAAAACATACATGTAAAAAATCTGCATTTCAACCAGCAGAATTTTTTTTTTAAAAAAACCTTCTATTTCCATAAATTGGAGATCTATGGAATAAACCTTAGCAGTAAAACACCAAAAAATTGTTTAACTGCTAAAAGGAATAAAAAAATACTTTGATAAGAAATGATATCCATTATTTATTATTTTGGAAAACAGCAAGGTACAGATCTCATGGGGAGTGATGTTTTGTTTGAGATAGGGTCTCCTGTAGCCCAAGCAGCCTGGAACTCCCTTCATAGACCAGGCTGGCTTCTGTCTCACAGAGGTCCATTTTGCCTCTCCCTTCCTTTCAAGTGCTGGCATTAAAGGCATGTGCCACCATGACCAGCTAGATCCCACCCCCCTTTTATTTTGGTCTTTTTGAGACAGGGTCTCCCTACAGCCTGGAGCTCACTATGTAGGCCAGGCTAACCTCAAACTCACTGAGATCTGCCTGCCTCTGCCTCCCGAGTGCTGGGACTAAAGGCACGCGCCACCATGCCCAGACTTCAGATCTGTTTTTTTTTAATTATTTATTTAATAGCCACATACTTAGAAGAAGCATTTCATTACAATAGCATTGACATATTCAATAACAATTTCCTGAGCTAAGATGCATCTCTTTCAAAATTGGCTATAAATTTTTAGGTTTAGAGTTTTTTAAAAACCCTGTGTGTCTATAATACATGTATATGCACATACATAACTATTATATCTAGAAGAAAATGGCCAAGGAAACCAGTTCAAATTTTAACTTATTACCTCTGAGGATATGATTACAGATGGATTTATACTTTCTACTTACTTTATTTATTTTCTTACTTATTTTTTTTATTGGTCTTTTTGAGAGAGGGTCTCCCTATAGTCACAAATGGCCTGGAACTCACTATGTAGACCAGGCTGGCCTGGGTCTTACAGAGATCCACCTGCCTTTGTCTCCCAAAGGCTGGGACTAAAGGCATGTGCCACCACACCCAGTAATACTTTCTACTTTAAACACTAATATTTAATATTTTGTTATACTTACTAACATTTTCTCATTTTTCATTATAATTATCTAATTGATCTTTAATTATAATTAAATTATAGTCCACAAGAACCTGAAATTATAGTATTTCACTTAACATTACATAGCATTCCAAAAAATGAATTTCAGTGACCTATAAGAAAGAAAAACTATTTTAAAAAATTAAGAGAAAAACTGTAGGTTCCCAAAGATGACATTCAGCATGACATTCTTTTAAAAATTTAGAACACGCACACATAAAATTAGGAATATTCAAGACGTCATTAAGATCATATTAGCCTGGTAAAGTAAGCAAACCAGGTCCTAGGGATTCTGAGATAGGACAATTGATAATACTTGAGTCCAAGAGCTGTAGGCAGCCCATCCCACCTCAACAACAACAACAACAACAACACACACACATACACACACACACACACTGAGAAATGATGGATATGAAATTCAGAACTATCGTTATATCTCAAGTGGGGGCAACATAGGGATGGTACATAGTGAGGTGGGGAGTGGAGGCCATGGAGTTCAGTGTAGGGTCTTTTCAGTGAAGAAATTTGTAAGTGTTTACTGTATAATTCAAGACAAATAGCTACTATGTAGATAAAGGTGAGCCATGCATGTACCCATGCTAAGTATGCATTGTAACCAAGGAACGAATTACTGATCCAATTCTGGTACCCCTAAAGCTGAATAAGGAATTTAAAAATTCTTGTTTAAAACTTATTTTTAGGGGTTGGAGAGATGGCTCAGCAGTTAAGAGCACTGGTTGATGTCAAAGAGGACCAGGATTCAGTTCCTAGTACCTACAAGATGGCTAACAACCATCCTTAACTCTAGTTCCAGGTGATTCAGCAGCCTCTCCTGGCCTCTGCAAGCATTGCACTACATGGGTGCACTTACATACATGTAGGCAAAACACTCATACACATAAAA